CTTCACCACCAACCACCAAACCAGCAGCCACGGCAGATCTTGAGCTCAATCGTTTTCGCGCTGCGGCACTTTTGTTGAGGGTAAGGATTATTTAGCATGCAGCGGCTTTGCAATGTCGGTGTCGGCATCGGAGACCGTAGCAAAAGAATCAAAATACAGAGCGGACATCTCTATAGCAGGGGCATTTACCCGTTGGCTCGAAGGTAGACTGAAGTGGAGCGAGAGAGATTGGAATTGAGTCGAGAGAAGAGGAGAGAAGTTGTATATCGCGCAAAGAGATAAGACATTAGCATGAAGTATCGCAAGGTGCGAGCGAGCGAGTCCCAGTCATCGCGAGATGTATGTAGGTACATATACAAGCCCGGTCGTGTAAATTATATCGAAAAGCGTATAATGGAGGCCGAGAGTCGAAAATACGATTCTTATCCGTCCCGAGCAATTGTGCTTTCTTATATTTGCTTGCAGCTACGAACGATTTTGATGATTATTCTTATTATTCTTTCAAGCTTTAACGATTCCGCTTTGATTGCGCGCTTTGGCGTTCAAGATGACGGAAGAGAAGCTCAAGTGCGTATTTATAACGCCGGATCTTAAGCTACGACGTAAGTCAGCCTATAACTAGCCGAAATATCTCTCTCTCTCTCTCTCTCTCTCTCTCTCTCTCTCTCTCTTTTACTCTCTTTTACTCTCTTTTACTCTCTTTTTTTTTACAAGTCTTTCATCAAGCTGCCGAGAGTTAAGAGTCTTTATTTTTAAAAACATCTGGGAACGGCATTTTACTTCCGACGCTGCTCCTTCAGTCAAGGACTCGACGAAAAGGTCTCGCAGCCATATAATACGCATGCGCGCCTTGTTGAGATATAACCGAAATTATCGTCACTCATTTTGCAACCTAATTAAGCCTTCTTGGATATCGTATTTTAACGATGCGATATACGCAAGTAATAATTTGCTTGAGATGCAAAAAGAGAGCAGGAGGGAACGAGAAATGACTGGCTCAAGTTTTTGTTGGCGCAAGCTATATGAAGTTGCTGATATGTTTATTACATTATTAAATGCCGGCGTGTAAGGATAAATATAAAAATGTACCTTATTTTTAACTGAGATTGAGCTTTTCTTTATATTTATTAAAGGATCAAAGACTGTTATTTTTGTATGGCAAATAAACTTCGCGGATGACGGTTTAAATGTTTAAGGTGCTTTTAAGGGCATCTTAATTGGAAAATTCAGTATTTGAGATGCAAGTTTGATCGTAAAGAATATAGGCGCGTTCGTATGGACTAATCGTGTCTTCCCCAATGCTCCCCCCTCCCGCACCCGGCGAATTCTATAAGCAATGGCCGACCATGTCTGCTACATTTATTTCTAGCGCTGTGAATTTATGAATTTACGTCCGTTACGGTACCACTTGTAATATTACCCATTGATTTTCTTCTTTTTTGTTTGTTTTTTGTTTTTTTTTTTGTTTTTTTTTGTTTTTTTTTGTTTTTATGTAGCGGAGCCAGAGAGAAATAGTAAGTGTAACTGAAAAACTTGCAGAAATATAAAAAATCGCGTGAGACTAGCAATTAATTTAATATTTAAACGAAAAAGTCCACATAAAAGTAAAGGAATATTACTTTGCGATGAGTTTGTGCCATATATTTAAAGATATATATATATATATAGATGGGGGGGGGGAGAAAGGGAGAAATATCTCTGAAAATACGAGATAGAATTTTAAGTGTGTTTGGATGTCTTGTAGTAAGGGAAAATCGCGTTACGCGTGGTTCGTCTTTTTTATGACTCTAGTTCAATATTTTCATCTAATGGTCGTCCAAGGGTCCTTCGTTTTTCCAATATGAATTGGCGCTGACCGTAAAGCAAAATATGAGATAAAAACTAGAAAAACCAAAGAAAAAAAATCTGGAGAGAAAAAAAAAATATGAAAACAGTGGAAGGGAAGTAGATAAGACGCAAAAGAAGGTTATACCTAAAGATTTTTTACCTGGCGTTTGACAAAAACTTTCTACTTTCTCCAGGGATATGAATCTATTCCTCCCCCGCCTCCTCGCCATCCCATCGCCCCTAAAAAAACAAAAGAACAAAAAGCGAAGGACGATGAAAATATTTGAATTGCTTATTATTAAGGCACATAACGGACAAAGATTCTTAGCGAATGCAGCGAGTGCGCGCTTTGCAAATTTCAAGGAAAAAGACGTGCCTCCTGTAAAAGTACGAGGCAAAAATAGAAAATGCGAATTTTTTTTCTTTCTATTTTTATTTCATACACCTTGAGCCAACCTTCGACTAATTGTCTCGAATTTGAAGCGCCGAACTAGTTCTCTTTTATGCGAGAAACGCGATCGGATTAATACAGCGAATTACAAAAACGTACTTACGCGCGGTCTAGCCTCGTTGGATATTCAGTGTAAAGTCATAGTCCCGCGCGAGCGGAGGACGCAAATTTACAAGCAAAAGCTGCCATCAACTCCCAAGTTTATATTAACAAACATGCCTAAAGTTTGCAAAAACGAGAATGAAAAACCAGAGAAGAGAAAATAGTAAACGATGCTACGGATACTCTCGTGGCTGGCATCAGATAACGCAAGATTCTTAAATTTGCAGGTGAAAATCGCTTGCGCTAAAACAACAGACGTTTTCGCTTAGCCTGCGAATTTTTATTCAGCCGGTTGGTTCGTTGCACCTATCGACTACTCCAGTTTCTTGTTGCGAAATTAATTTTGCCGCTCATTAGAACATTCGTATAATGCAAGCACCACTAGCTAAAAGCCAACTGCTGCACGGCTTCCTAAATTAATATACACTTCTTGCTAACGAGGTACGGTTTTTTTTTCTTCCTTTTTTTTCTTTTGATCTAAGGAGAGCGTTTGTTTATTATAAGCGCGCTCTCTTATCGCTTATGATTTTGAGAAATCCAATTATTTCCGTTAATTACAACGAGCGCGGGCAATTAATAAATTATCGCATAACTCATATGGAAGAGGAGGGCCGTCGCTAAGGTACCCTACCATGAAAGTCCATGCCGTTTCGCGTGGTTTAAAAAAAACCCGCTGTCGGTTAATGTTCAAAAGAGAAATATCTCGTGCGGAGCTGGGAGCGAGTTTCTTATAAAGCATTGGCGCGCCAATGAACGTGTTTTCAACGTTTCCGTTTTGCGAGCGCGCGTACGCAATGCCGAGCGAGCCGCCTTCTCACGCGCGCCTCGGTGCGCGTCTCGCGTGCGTGCGCCCCATCCTTAGCTGACCCCTCGAGAGCCCCGCTCCACCACGGACTCGGGACGCCTTTTCCATCCGAACCGTCCCTGCCCGCCCATTGCCATTGTGCGGCAATGATAAAGATCGCCGAAGACGAAATCGGGAAGGATTGGCCGACCGTTAACGGCTCGGCTTGTCGCGTTAGTCCGTAGATAAGAACTCTAGTTTATCGTTATTGCCGCATCGACTTCTTGATTAATTTTTGCTTTTCATTTCTATTACTCTGGCCCTTTTATCAAACCGGGCACCGGGCTTATATTTATAGTCCTTCGCTACTGTCTAATCGATTCTACGTAGATGAGCCAGAGAGAAAGAGAGAGAGAGAGAGAGAGAGAGAGTGAGAGAGAGAGGGAGAGTGAGAGAGAGAGAGAGAGAGAGTGAGAAGATAAGACGGTGACCGGAAGAGAGTCTCGTTAATTTTCAAATCTCGTCTCGATCGCAAACGAGATGAATCGATACCTTATACGAATACTACCTTTAATGAGCGTATATATTCGATTTCTCATGTACCCCCCCCCATCCCCCTATCGCCCAGCTATACACTTTTAAAGTCTTTTTACGCGTAAATTGTTAACATACGTGATATTTAAATGGCAAGTTTCGTAAATTTTTCACGAGTTGGCATAATCGTATGATAAGCTTCGGCGTCTCTTACGCCTAATGCAAAAAACTTAGCTCGTTAATTGGATCTCCTAAATTACATGGTTGCGTAAGTTTAGTTCGAACAAGTGGATTGGGTGGCTGAGTGTAGCAGTTACGCTTACCAATCGGCTGATGGAAATTACATAATCGGTCGCTCGACTTTCAACTCGCGTCGCCTCGTCTCCACCCATCAATTCTGAAATACGCCGACATTGGCATTTTAGCATTGAATTCGCCTAGTCAAGCTGGTGCGACGCTTTCCTAAGTCGTGATACTGGGTCGTCGGGGTAAAAAATGCCTCCTAAGCGCAAATTACCGGCACTTTCTTGCCGAGGTTCACTCCCGACTAATGCCCCACCCGAGTGCGCAACCTCATCAAGAACATCAAAATAAACCATCTCAACGGCTAGGCTCACCTTAATACAGCTGTGTACACTGGGCTGCTAGGAGAGGGTGGTGCGGGTTGGCCGTGGGGTGATCGGGGGGGCTCCGGTGCAGGGCGTACCCCTAGTTGCCCCCGTCGGGGCCACCCTGCTGTTGATGCGCCGCCGCAGCCGCAGCCGCCGCCGCCGCCTTCTGCGCCTGTGCCTGCTTCTCCTGCTCGTTCAACTCCTTGATCGCCTGTATTTCCTTCTTCAGCTTCATGCGCCGATTCTGGAACCAAATCTTGATCTGCCGTTCGGTGAGGCAGAGCGCGTGCGCCATCTCTATTCGCCTCCGCCTGGTGAGGTAGTGATTCGTGTGGAATTCCTTCTCGAGCTCGAGGGTTTGGTAGCGCGTGTAGGTCTGCCGGCCGCGTCTGCGTAAGCCGTTTGCTCCTGAAAGCAGAAGAAAAGGATGGGAAAATTAGTGGCGCGAGTCAAACGATAGGCGAGGTTCGATAGTGGGTAGAGCCGCTGATGACGCTCGTCTCGCGTTAAAACGGCCTCTCGTTAACGGTCCTAAAGGAGCATCGGTGGAGGTATTCGATTCCATCGGGAGCTTTTCTTTTTTCTTTTTTTTTTCTCTCTTTTTTACTAACACCTCCCTCCGTTCCTCGGCTTTTGCTCTAAGCCCTTTACATCCCCTACTTGATTGGGGGGGGGGGGGGGGGGGGAAAGAAAAGCTGTTGACTCGCTGTAAAAATGCCGGTGTGAATAATGTCGTGTTGCTTATTGGCTGCCCGAACAAACACCCGGGCGACAGCATCTCATGGACCTTCCGAGAAAATCGGGGAAGATCGGTGGACGGGACCCGTGCCCGCCTGGGGGGGGGGGGGGGGGGGGGGGTAAAACGAGAAAGGGAATAAAAGAAATCACGCGTCCTCCTCCCCGGTTATTCTCATGCCTAATTTGTTGCTATATTTATGGCTTCGAGGTTAACCGCCAAGACGCGTTGGCGTATTTCGTTTAATTCCAAGTTTGAATTCAAAGCTTTCTTATTTTGGCTTTGCTGATCATTGAGATTCGTCGAGTTTATTTAGAGTATAATTGAAACACGATAGCTCCCTAGCTAGTTAATTATTTATTAGTTCTCGTGTGGACATTTTGTAATAATGCGACAATGGCTTTGGGTGTGAATGAAAACATAGTCAAGCAGAGGTCGATGCAAAATGCGAATTAATATATTTGATAAATTAATGTAATTGTGTTTATTTTTTTTTTTTTTTATTTTCAGCTCAATCGTATACGTGCCACTTCATTAGACATGACCTAATCATCGGCTGCTAACCGACTGCCCATTGGTATTGCACAAGCAGAACGTAAAAAATGGACACGGACTTTCTATTACTTTTCATAATGGCAATGCTCGGCCAAATGTACAAAACCGCAAAAACACTAGGTAATCTCGGCCGAGAAAAGTTTAATTCTATCCGCGGGTAGTGCGGTGTGAGCAACGAAAGCGAAAGGAAATGAATGGAAAAGAAAATAAAATAAGCAGATCTCGTAACTATATTACTGCCGAAATCAACGCACCAATAGCCACGGGAAGTGCCGACAGAGAGAGAGAGAGAGATAGAGAGCGGGGTAGGGGTAGGGGTAGGTGGGGGTGGGGGATGGACGAGGTAACCGCAAAATCCTTGTAACGAGATCGTCTATTCGACGCCATAAAAATCGTGGCACATATGGGAGAAACATCGAGACAGGCCAGCAGTCCGGGATAGGTGTAAATGTCTTGGAATAAAGTGGAAGCGCGCGAGCTGAAATGCGGGACGAGCGTTGGTAAGGGAAGCTGAGGAGGTGGGAGATGGAAGGAGCGGCTGTGAAAAAGAGAGCGGTAGAAATGTGCGGCGTTGGTCGTTGTATGGCGTGGCTGAAGGGCCACTTGGGTGCAGTAGCGAAATAAGCCCCATCGGGTAGAGAGAAGAGAGCCGGGCTCACCTTATCGGCCGTTACTGCCTCGTAAAGCGCCCGTTTCACCTCTGCCACCGGAGAACGAGAGGATTCGGCTAGCTCGGTTTAAACGACGGGAGAGAGTGGCGAGGGACTGACAGAGAGAGAGAGAGAGAGAGAGAGAGAGAGAGAATAAACCGTATGAGTCAAGTAGTACTGAGAATCCACCGGCGGCGCTTGTAGTCCATGTAGACTATGGAGAAGGTTTTACCCTTTCATAGGAACCTTTCTATTTTGGAAAATGTACCCGGAGTTGTACTGCGTTTATGCTGTCTACTCCATTGAATTTCTACTCTCTCTCTCTCTCTCTATCTATCTATCTATCTATCTATTCTGACCTTTTTTACCACTGCTATTTATGTCATTTTCAACGTTCATTTTCGGTTATAATTGATAATTGATAGTTAGTTAAGCATATTTTTACGTAGTATTAACGAATATTAAAATACTCTGGTAAACCATCTTAATAGAGTATTTGTTGGAATGTCAATTAATGGTGTTTTCAACGTCTATACGATATTTTTGTTTCTTATGTCGGACAATAATTTATAATTTGTTATTTTCAAAAAGACAAAATTTCAAGACCACGCGATATATGGGGAAAAAAAAAAGAAAAAAGAAAAAAATTTTGTGATATAATGGATTTTCAATTCGTATCCTGGCAATGGAATAGCGCAATAATGATCTTACAATAAAACATATAGAAATCCATAATCCGAAGAATATTCTCTTATCGAATCATCGTGGAATTAAAATTCCAAAATACAAATGGTTTTAGTTGCGTAACAGTAGTAAATATCTCGATCGGATTATCTTGTAATTACTTATAAGCCCTTATTATCCTCGGAGAAAATGCGAGAATGAAACTTAGTTTTTGTAAATTGCTCGTGACATAAATCTTAGGCCAATGAATTTTAATTCAAGCATTCTAAATCATGCGTAGGGATAAGTAAGACCGAATGGAAAATAATTATTCTAATAATTTCAGGTACGACGAGAAATGAAAAGAAAAAAAGAGAAAAAAAAAATAAGTTAAAAATACTGTATAGGTTTGTACCTCTTACTATGCTTTTCCCATTATTAAATCACATATATCAATTGGCTCGTAAAGGAAGGGAACCCCTTTAAAACAATTAATTGCCAGCAGCCCTGGAGTTTCGTAGCTGGAGAGGGACTAGAATCGGAAATCGGCGAAGAACTCAAAAAGCAATGGCCCATTACCCCGACTAATATACCTCGTGATTCGTAATTTAACGAGGAAATTACGAAAATGTAAATCGTGCACTCGATAAAAATCCTCATCCCGCTCGCCCTTTCGAACGCATCCAACCACCCACACATGCGCGCGCGCGCTAATATATCGATGAGCCTCGCGGCCGCGCTCGTAAAAAACAGCAACGCGTTTTGCGTCCTCCCGCCCCTCGGCCAGCCGACGGTCCAGGCGCACGAGGACTCCCGGCATCGAAGTAAAGAGGGTTGATGAGGGGAGGGGGGATGGTGAAGGGGGAGGTACGTAGGGGATTTTGGCGCGTAGAAAGGCCAATGAGTGCATTATATTGACAATCGTATGCAGGTCTATGCGTTATTGGCAGGCGAATATGGGCGATATTGGGAGGGTGGAATGCCGCGCGGAGCCATTGTGCGAGAATTGAGTGGAATTCGCGTGATATCGCATGTACTCTTGAGCATTCGACATTCCGCGCAGCGAAATATTACAAATGAAGTGGATAGCGGTGCCACCGGTGTTTATTATCGCTGACCAATGACGAAGCAATTGATAGCGCCATACTTTCCTTCACTACGCGTTAAAAGGAATTCGCATCCGGGCTGACTTTCTGGCATCGTTTCGCGTCGCGATTTCGTGCCAATTGTTTAGCGCTGTAAACATTGATATTATCGAGCGAAATAGCTGATTATTAATTACACGGATGCTTAGAGTTTCGTCCAGTCTGAATTTGCAAGCTGTGACTAAAGTTACGCGTTGTATGAAAAATTTGCATTTATCACGTTGTTTTCTACGTTTCTGGCTAATGTGAATATATTTATATTGATTATTGATTAGCCGTTATTCATGAAACTCCAAAGTCAATTTAATATTAACGGCCATAAATAAAGTGATTAATAATTGGAACGCACTAAGGGGATAAAATAAACGATTCGTAAAGTATAATTGATAATATGAATTTGTATGGCTATTTGAGAGAGGAGGTAAAACAAAATGCTAATATAAGAAAGCGATTTCGTGTCCAGAAGATTATCATAAAGTCGTATTTATAAGCGTTATTTGTCAAAGTTTCATCTCCAGTCCTGAAAGATTGTTGAAGAGCGTAAAAAGGGATGGAGTGTCGTAGGGTAAGCCCGACTACTTCCCTTGGTTTCCCCACTTATATATATATATATATATTCTCTCTCTATCTCTCTCTCTCTCTCTCTTTCTCTCTCTGTGTCTTATTTTCTTTCGAATGGGGGACCATGGAACGATAGACTCCGGAACTTATAAATAAAAGAGGGGCCCTCCCAATTAAACCGTTCCCATACGTCTCCGCAAAGTAGAAAATGTGACAAGCATACCGCTACCACCCTACTCTTATATTTCTTGGGAGCCTGGCTTACACCCTCCGTGCTCTCTCTCTCTCTCTCTCTCTCTCTCTCTCTCTCTCTTTTGACTCGATACAACCCCGATCCCTCTCCCCCTCATTTCTTCTGTCTGTCTATCTGATTCTTCTAGCGAGCGCGTAGTTGGCCTCTCGCGGGAGCGGCAAAGCGCAAAGTTCAAGCCCTCGCTTACTACGGTGGGTAACCGCTTGAGCGAGGATAAACAGGGCGGGGAAAGGGGGATGAAAGGGAGAAAGAATAAACAGCCCGAGTGATAAACGGAGAGAACGAAGCGAGCAAGTATCGCGTGTCCTCGTGGAATCGAGGGATCGAATGAATTTCATGCTAAACTCGCGAGGCGTTGTCGTCTCCTGTAGGGTTGAGGAAAACTGAAGAGAGAAGAGAACGCGGGGCGGAGTAATCTATGTACCATCTTCCTTCTTTCGGCATTATTTTTTGCTTTATGCGCGCCAGGACCTCGCCGTCGGCTTCCTTGCGTGCGAGGAAATTTCTCGCGGTGTGATTGTGGCCTAGGTGTCGGGGTGTGCTCGCGCGTGTGTGCACGTAGATGTGGCGCGTTCGAATAATTCGCTCGAGCATTAAGCGAGAGAAGCTTCCCCGTGGCTTTACGAGCGGTCGTTTGCCGCGAAAATGGGCCCTGAAGAGGGTTGATATCGCAAACGATTACGGGATAACTACTGAAAGTCAATGTGTACACCATTTTTAATACATCACATGTAAATTAATGGCCATTCGAGGCAATCATTATATGGGGCGTTAAATCTTTTTATGCAAAGTCGAGTTCAATTTTTAAAGCGGCGGACGCTTTTATCGACGACGCCTGAAATATT